AAAATCGTAAGGCACGTTAATACACATTTGGGCGCAGTTCGACGACGGGAGGGGAGGGGGAGGGTATTTTGCACTTCACCTGCTTCACTTACTGTATACAAGTCTCACTCGGTCACTCTGGTGAAACTTGTGAACTCTTGTGAAGCTGGAGCAAGCTCGTCTAGCCACCATGGTGAAATGTGTCAACTCAAGAAAAGGCTATCTAGATGGGTCGACACATCGATGGGAAACGAAATGCCCCTCTCCTCCCCTCCCCCTTCGCCAAACTGCGCCCATATTTGCCTTCGACAAAGGCTTGAGGCGCTTGCCATGATGCAGAGCTCTTGGATTTTACAATTAGAGCTTTTGTGCTAGGTAATAATTGAAAATGTATTACAGAGCAAAACTGTCCCAGTATGTTCACCTTGCTTGACGCTGACCATTTTAGGAGTAAAGAAATGTGGCTCGATACGCTGGTGCATGTCTCAAAGGTTGAAGGTGCGGTAGATGAGAAGTTGATCGTGAAGATGCTCGAGGGGTAAGCTGTACATTTTTTTGATCATTAAGTTGTGATTTACTTGACCACCATGAGAAGTGCGCTGAAGTGCAAACTGTACACTCACCTTCACCTCCGAGGACGATCCTTGCCATGTGCGAGGCAAATGGATCCGCAGCTGCAATATCATGCCACTTTCTCCGTTCAAAAGTGTACGGAAACGGGTTTGAAGGGTAGTGGTACCTGGCGGCCGTTCAGGACTCCGCCCGCGCTATCCTAAAGGTACAGCACCTACGTCGATACATTGGTCCCGCAGCGAACACGTAGTCAGAGGTAGAGAGTAACCAGAAGTGAGAGAGCGCGGACATGTAACGCGTTCGGCTATGGTTAGGCGTGCGGCTGGCTGTGTGTAGCGCGGGAGGGGGGGGAGTTGGATAGGGCACTCGCGCTTCATTTCTCTCCGCCCCGCTCCCTTACAGCTACGACCCGTTCTCCTCACGCACGGCAGGAACTATCCAGAAGGTCTACGGAATCCCTTCGAATGCGTCGATCATCTCTTTTTCTCTGCACTCTCTCGCTCTTGTTGCGTTCTGTGGTCATTGCGACCTTACATATTCCAGCTTTTCACACATGGTAAGTGGCTCAACCACCCCGGAGTCCCCTCCCCTTGAAAATATCCCGCTTCCTGGCCCCACCTATTTTATTTGTAGGTACGGTTTTTTTGCTCGTTTGATGCTTTGGCAGCCGCTGTCCCTCCATCCGTCTGCGTCACAGGGTTTCGTTACAGGACCGCCACTAAAAGTTCAAGATGTCACGTAACCCACGGAGATGAATGTACCGCTTGTCTTCAAGACGTAAGGCACGAATAATTGGCTAGGTTTGGGCTAAGCAAGTCACCTGAAGTTTTTAGTCGCGAAGAGCGCCCTCAAAATTACTTTACGAGAAATTACTAGTCACAAGGGCCACCCCTTACAAGAAAGCTCGTTCGATCACCCTTATGTCGTGCTGATAGCGTCGAGTCATGGTCCATGCTCTGTGGTATGTAAGAGTCTCATACCACGGCAGAAAGCGAAGGGGGATTTGTCGTGAGGCGGGTTTGAACCTAGCAGATGCGTTCCACAGTTCTCGCCGGTCTGAACCGGCAGAAAAGCGGCTGCCTCTGGGCTCAAATCCATTCCCCCCCTGACACGCCCTATCGCTTTTTGCGATATGGACTGCAATACATTAATACTTATTAGATCTGCAACATTCACAAGAATGTTTACTCATTTCCGCTTCTCTTACTCCAAAAGAACTGTAGGCCCATGGCCCATTAGAGGTCAATCAGTCGCTTTCACAGTGATCTGTGGAAATGAATGGATTGCGGCTCATTCTCTCAATTGATAATTTATGAACCCTGCTTTTTCCTCTGTATAGAACATTGAAAGTTGGAGTGATTTTTTAGCATTGAAGCTGGTGGAAACCTTCCACCGTTGGTTGTGTTGGAAATTTTGTCGCGTAGCAGCAGTTTGAAAGTGGCAGCAGTTAAGGATTATGTCATCAGATGGTTAGATCAGCACGAAGTGTAAGCAGTCATTAAACACTGCCTAGCAATTTTCCACATTTCATTCCGAACAGAGTGTGATTCAGATAGAAGCAGATCGAAGCAATCACGGAAGGGTTGAACGTTCGTGTGAAGAAATCGATAAAAGCAGATGGAATCTCGCTCCAAGTTAAAGTTGTTTCATTTCGTTTTTTTTTTGGTGCTATTGTTCAGCGAGGTCGTGACCACCTAATCTATTGACATTTTTCAGTGTCAAGTGCTGCCAAGTGAATCATGCATGCTTGTGATCGACTGCACTTTCAGTTGCCAGCAGTACATTTTCTCTGCCGGCATAGTTATCATGTGCACTGCTTCGAGTCCTACAGCGATAAACCTGACGTGTGTCCAGCATGTGTGGGGCCGATGTCCAGGTAGGCAAAGCATGCTTCTGCAGTAGAAGAGTTTTCTGTCTCTCTGTATATAAAACCGAAATTGTATGTGTATCTGTATGTCTTTGTGACCGCCCCAGAAACTGTGGGCTGCATGAACCTGACGTGTGTTCAGCATGGGCCAGCATTTACAGAGCACAGGCCATGTGTAAAACTAAGGCTCCCCGCCTACCATGGGCCGGGCATGTGCCAGAGTGGATGATGGCGGATAAAAATTCCAAGAGCGATCCAGAGCAAACTAGGGAGTAAGGAATATGGGTGAAAGACATAAGGAGTTGCCTGTTGAAAATGAGGAGAGAGGGGACGTGGCACGCGAATGGGTATTTGTATCTGCTTGGTGCGAATGTTCATAGTTCGGTTCCGAGACACATGAGAGTGGCATACTCCGTCCGACTATTCTTTGAAAGGAGTTCAAGGATTCTAGATTCTGGGAATCGAAACTTCTTAATATCCGATTTATATAGAAGAGACAGTTTCGGTGGAGAATTTACTTTCCTTCTCTTGGAATTGTGAAAGTGTTTTTTAAAAAGGCTGTGGTTCGATTAGGGGCGGAGCAGTTCTATATCTGATAGACGAGCGGTACGGCCCGAAACACAGGGGGAGTGTCACCTCCTCCCCCCCCCACTCCCACCCCATAGTGAGTATTAAAAACTGAAGAATGACGCTCTGCTTTTGGCGTGCGCCTAATGCGTTCATAGTTCCTAAATCAGTGTGAATTTTGAGACTTGTTCGGAAGGCTCCACTGAGAAGAAAAATCTAAGCTAGAGCCTTACGAGAAGCACATAAGGGCGTGTTCCGCGATGAAAGGATGGGCGGGGACTGGGGCTAACCACTGTGCCTTTGCTATTGGCGCGTCTTTCTTAACACGCTGATGGAGAGGAGACATGCGCCAATAAGGAAAGTACAGTGGTAAAGAATCTCTCAATGCCTGCTGATTGTTGCGATATGGCTTTGAATGTATCGCTTCTGTGTAGACGTGAGGCTGCTGTAACCAATTTTGTCTTTTTTCAGGGAGACCTCAAGAGAAGCTATAAGCGACAGAGCTGCTTATCAGATGTTCCATAAAGAAGTATGTCATTTTTATAATTGACGTGGGCTAGTTCCAGACCTGATGTTGTCGAAATTAGGCTTCTGAGGGTTGGGCTTATACAGTCTTGTTCGCTGCGGATAACGGGACGTCAGTGAGGCTCGATTTGGCACACTGACAGCTCGTTCTCCACCACTTAGCGGAGTTGGAGCGGATGAGGACAGCAGTTGGTGGAAAACGGCTGATACGAACCATACGTCGAAAGAAAAAGAAAATGAACGAAGTGGCCGCCGCGCCAAGTCCATCCCTCCTTGCACGCCCCATCATCCGCTGCAAGCAAGACTGTGAGAGCGATCTCGAGTTCGCGCTGAGACCTGAATTCGGGAATCACTGCTTTGTGTGCTTTCATCACCCGTTTACAGGCACCTTTTTAGCTAAACGGAGCGGTTAACGGATTGGATGTGATATCAAAATATATTCGGAGTGGAGTGTTCGATTCGTCGAAGAAGAATTCCCAGAAAAAGGTGATTGATCGAAGTGTCCTATCGTTCTAAGATAATGATGGAAACCTTGAAAGCAGGGTTAGAGAGCCAGCTTTTCCATTTTCTAGCTGTTCAGCTTGACCGTCTCTTGCAGGGATCGACTGCTGTGTCACCGGCTGATTCAAAACGAAGTGATGGGAATCCGTTTGAAGATGAAGATGATTTGAATCCATTTGCTGATCGTGGCACCCTGAGTAGCAAGTCATCAGATTCAGCCATCAGGCGGCCACCAACGATGAAGTCCTCGAACGCTAATCGTCCGACTACCTATGATGACTCTAAGAATCCGTTCAGAGTAGGCACGAATCCGTTTGAAGACTAAAAACGACTTTTAAAACAGTCCTGCACATCGAGGGTAGAACATTAATCCAAGCTTCCAGGCAATAAGTATGGGTGCTCCGAAGTCACTGGTTGACGTTCTGTTGATAGTACAGACTCATCACTTCGATGAATTGTTGATAATTCCGATTGACTGGTGCCCGACCATTCAATCGGAATTATCAACAATTCATCGAAGTGGTTGTAAAAGTGCAGGTTCTTTAATGGAGCCACAGTCTTAAATGGCTTCGTTTTGGAGAAATTTGCCTCTGGAGCGGTTCGCGTGAGTGATTGAAATATCCGGAGAGTTTTGAAAAAATTTGCTCTACGTGTCACGCGGCCCGCATCAAGTCACGGAAAGCGCGCTCTATCCAGAAAGTCTAATGAGTCGAATGTGCAGAAGAAAAGAGCAATTGAAGTGGTAGAATAAAAAAAGAAAGTGAAATATTAGCAGATTGAATAGGCGGTTGGGAGATTTTACTAGTCGTCAGCTTACTTAACTCTAATTGGAAAATGTGCGAGCTAGTACGACTATCGTGGCTTCATCATAAACACTCTGAATACCTTAGTGGCAAAGCCCGCCGAGAGAAAGACGCATCCGCGGTAGTGATGCTGAAAGCGATGCCAAGATGCCGTCAAAGTCAATAGAGCAGAATAAACAGATTAAAAAATGGTCGTATATGCCCCCTCCCCGTAATAACCTCTTTTGCGATCAGAGCAGAGGAGAGCAAAAAGAGCGACTGGAGATCACGCGGCTGAGTGCGCCCTTGTGGCTGACACATGCTAGAATTTTCCTTCTGCCAATCAGATCTCCGCCAATGTTCTTTTACAACAGGTCTTGCTAACGTGGGAAAGCAGGAGCGGCGGGCGAGGTTCATTAAAATTGTTGTCGGGCCCACTGAAAGGAACGATAAACCTCTCCCCGCCTGTCTCCTCCTCTGCACCTTTGCGTCCGCAAAAAGGGTGCATCGCTGTTTTTGGCGGGCCTCTGTTCTACCTTGCCTAGAAAGGAGAGGAAGATGTCAGTTGACCGCGAGGCAGTGCTTTAACACCCAAAGTCATAGAATTACTAACGACGACGGAGGCAAAAATGTTATTTTACCTTTGCCGAAACAAGTGCCTAAGCCTGCTTATCAGTGTAGGCAAAATGAGACCTGAGAGTAGTCGACAGCTCTGGAACGCAACTTGAGCCCCGGCGCCACTCCCGTGTGCAAGGCGCCGCCAGGGCAAGCCCAGCTAGTCACTATTTCCCAGTCAAGCCAATCGCCCGTTCTTGTCTGCGTCTTTCTCTGCTGGTTAGAAAATTTTTGTTCTGTACGCACGGCTGCAACAGGCAGCTTGCCATTTATTTTCTTCACAGCTGGACCTCGCTATTCCCGCATATGCTGCACATTGTGGACGTCAACAGGGGACCCAAAGAGCGTTCACTTTTTGCTATGCTCCAGTCTCATTCTCGCTCAATTTTGGATGGCGAAAATGGCACTATTTTGCAGCTTTGAACCAGCGGAGCTCATGGATCCACCTCGCAGGTAAACTTACATCTTATCTTCCACAAAAATGGAAGGGATGACGTCCCTCGTGATTGTAGATTTCCTTTTTGTCACTAACCATAAGATGTGGTAAATGAGCTGGAAATTCTGAAAACTCTTCGGACCCCATGATATTTGGAGATGATTGCTTTTATGTATAATTGCCCGTTGTAAGTAAGGGTTATTCATTCTGAGTGATAAGTTTCGAAGTTTGAACTGTGATAAGCTTTCGTATTTATCGATATGTTCACCGCAATGTATAAAGTGTTAATAAATGTATTATATAGTTTTGTACAACACTCACTTCACAGAGCCTCCTAGTACAGCAGGTGGTGATGCGACTGAACCCTCACCGCTTCCACTCATGTAAGTGTAACGCTAATTAAATAGTTGAAATGCTCATACATTCGCGGTTGCTGGAAACGCTGGAGCATACATCGAAGGGTATCGCATGTCGTTTGTATGCTTACTCTCAGAAAGTCGATGCAACAAATACAGCTGGATGCATGGCGCGATCCAAGGAGAAGCGATTCAAGCTGGATTTCATTAAGTGGTCTCCTATGAGAGTGGCACATCTCCGAGAAGTATTGTCGTGACTGCTACGAGGATGCTTCACTTTTGACAGTCGAGCCAGTCATATACACGGGGAGGTCGAAAAAGACACTTTTTTTCTCGATTTCCAAAGCGAAATAAGCCACGCTTTATTAAATTTTGATTGAACTACTTCCATCATC